TATATTATATTATATTATATTATATTATATTATATTATATTATATTATATTATATTATATTATATAACGAGTGTGAAAAATCACTTTTACTAGTGCTGTACAATATTTTTCCTATGGCCACAAAATTCAAAACCAGAAAATTTGGCTATAAAGGTTCAATCAAGATTATTAAAATACAATAATGTTTTTCGTTAGTTTTTTTTTTTAATGAACAAGTAATAAGATGAATAACCGCGTGAACAAGAACTTTTTTTAGTTATTATTAAAAATGATCACCTACTTATCTAGTTACACAACTGTTCAGAAAAGTAGAAAATAGTATACAATTTATTTCAGATTATTACTGCTCAGAAAAAGTAGAAAATAGTACAAAATAAATAACGGAAAAATTAACTGTATGTTTTTTAAATAAAATTTATTTAAAATAAATAAACAACAATAGTCGTATTTTTAACTTTTTATATTTTTCCAAATTTAAAGAATTAAACCCGCGTCGTGACAAGGTTTTCTAAATGGATTTGTCTATTGTTAAAATTTTTGATGTACATTAGAAAGACAACTTAGGATGCGTTCAGTCAACGGTCAAGTTGGCTAGTATGGTCAGACCGGTCGCTGAACAGTTTAGTCGAAACTGTCTAGTTCTAATTTAACAAATTCATGATCAGCACACTAAAGTACAAGACCAGCCACCAGGCACCAGTTTATGTTTTAAAAAATTGTGAAATTCTTCCCAGATTGATGTATTAAGTTTGTTTTTAATACTGTATTTCTTTATTCATATTTTTGATTAAAACACAATGTAAATTTCGGTCATTGTTGAGGTTTGAAGTTATGTCTTAAAACACTCATCTCACTGATATTAAATAGTGCGAGTGTTTTTATTGTGTGCAACTGCATTACTTACAATTGACTATTATTAACCATTCACTAGACTCTTTTGACTGCTAAATACAGTGCAACCTCTTTAATCCGAACACCTAATTGTCAGACCTTGTTCGGATTATCGAATTGTTCGGATTAACGAATATACAATAAAACAGTTCGGAGTTCGGATTACAGAGGCGGCGTTCGGACTATCTCACATCACGATTTGCGTTCGGATTAGCGTAATTCGGATTAGCGTGGGTTCGGATTATCGAGGTTGCACTGTATAGACAAAATTGCTCGGCCATTCTGAATGACCCTGACCGATCAGCTGATTAGTCATGAGTAGAGGGCGGAATATATGCATCAAAATATAACAAAATATGCGCATATATATGCATCGTTTTTACCAAAAATATGCAGTTATTTTGTCCAATTATGCCTAAATATGCAAATGCATATTTGTTAAAAATACTTAAAAAAAAGTAGGGGGTGGGTAGCTCAGTGGTTAGTGCGTTGGCCTGTGGACTTAGGGGTCCCGGGTTCAAATTCCAGCCGGGACGCGATTTTTTAAATTAATTAATTTATTTAAAAATGAATTCTGATGCCTAGCGAATATTTCCACTTGACCATTCACTGTTGGGTTCTAATTAACATTGCTGTTCCTAATTTGGTACGCTATCAAAGCCATTACACGAAAAAAAAAAAAAAAAAAAGAAAATATGCAATATAAAAATTTATTTAAAACAAAACACAAAAACTAGTAGAAGTTAAGTATAGAATAGTATAAAAATATTAAATAGTAATATTATAATAGGAATTTATAATGAAATATTTTTCGAAATTTTCTTTTAAAAATTTTTGTCTTCTGTCTGTAAAAATATGTTTTGATATAGAAAAGGTCCTTTCAACATCTACCGAAGTAATAGGACAATACCGTAATTTTGGAAGTAATGTACAGGGCCAACGTAAAACTTCTTTGGAAAATTTTCCCTCAAAAATGTTTTTCACATCCCTTATTTCATTGAATCCTTCATTCTTTAATAAAGTTGTATTTAATTTTTTTCTAATCTTAAGGCCTATGTCACCAGGAACATTGTTACATTTATCGGAAACTGTTGCAATCAAATTTGCTGATTCGATTAAACTTAAATTTTTCTTTTCCAATGAAGTTATTACATCAGGTAAAAAACTAAAATTAACCTTTATAAACACAAGTTGCTTAGGCACAAGGGGATTTTTTAACAATTCTTTACTTTGCACTACACATTGTGAATTGTCTTCTATATCCAAAATTAAATCCTTAATTGCTTCCAAATTTTCTGCATAGAATATAGCTGCTTTAATCCATGTCCCCCATCGCGTAATTACGGGTGTCGGGGGCAAACACACCCCTACCATTCTCTCTTTATAAAACTGCACTCTTAAGGGGGCTTTTAAAAATATTTTTTTCACATTCGAAATTAGCTTGTTAACCAAGGGATATTCTGTTCTCACAGTTTCTGCAACTAAGTTTATTCCATGCAGAAGACAAGTAACGTGGACCATATTTGGATAAAATATTTTTAAGTTTTGCCCTACTTTTATCATATATGGTGCTGCGTCAGACAAAAACACTAAGAACTTCTCTGAGGGAATTTGATTTGGTAAAAAAAACTGTTTTGATGCAATTAAATATGATGTACCTGGTTCATTTTCTTTTAAGGCTCCAATCATAAGATGTACCATATATCTTCCACAAGCATCTGTGCTTTCATCAACAATGATGTAAAAATTGCTATCTTCCAGTAAAACTTTAATTTCTTCTATTACATTTATATATATAGCATGTACATTTTTTTTTCTGAGTGTAGATTCGTCAGGAATGGTTTGATTGCAATATTTTTGTAAAAAGTCTCCTAGATGTAGGTTTTGTAACTTCTTTAATGGAATATTTACCGCAACAAGAGCTTTGCACAAGTCCTGATTAAATACCTCCTTGTCACTTTTTGTTTTGTCGGCGTTTTGAAATGACCTCACAACGCATTGTTGAACCGGTTGTGATTTCATTTTTTGCAATTTGGCTTTATGCAATGATGTTTTCACGTGTTGAACCACTTTGAACTTTTTTTCGCAAACCACTATTTTGGCACAAGCTTTACAAAAAACTTTATCCCCATTGATTTCCAACTCTGGAAAGTTAATAATCCACGAAGAAATTCTCGACATTTTAGGACATTTTTAAAACAACAAATTATTACAAGACTTTTCACTAGGCAAATAACGAGGATACTATCTCATTAAACTGAATGAAAAACATTCAAAATATTCCGATGTTAGGGTAGATTGGTTACAAGAAATTACTGAGAATTTTATATAAACCGTTTTATTGCATTGTAGGTAATACTTTATCTGTGTAAATACCATCTATTAACAATTACCTTAATGGGATTAATCTCTTAAGAAGGTAAAAACCCAGTGCATGCCACCCTCCAAGAACTAATTAACAAGAATTTACAAGTGACACTTAAAAACAAATACAAAAATTTAAAAGGTCTTTATTTCAAATATATCTGTATAATCTGTTAAAACAGTTTTTGATTTGCACAGTATAGTAATACATTTTTTTTTTCGAAAATATGCAATATTTTCTTAAATTTTCTGAACTTCTGTACTTTGGCGATAAATCTTGTATAGTTTGTAAAAAAGCTGGATGAATAGTCCAACCAATATTCATAGCCATTTTAGTAGAAATATGATTTTCCATCAAAATAGCCAGACATTTGGATAGTTTGTATACTATCCAGCTAGTCTATAAACTAGCCAAGTAAACACTTTAACCGTAACATATGTAAATTGTACTGATATTTCATATTTGCTCTTGTCGGCACGTTATTGAAAATATTAAGTAGAGGGAATCTCTTAGTCATTTAACTTTGCATATTAATTTTGTTATAGAATTATTATTATTGATACAGTAGAATAATAAGTGGTTTAAATCTGCAATACTTGAATTTTTTCAAGAACAGTAGGGATACTCAAAAATGCCAATTTTCTTTGGATGATATAATAGGTTCTAGAAGTTGAGAAATATCGATTGGGAATATCTTTTGGGAGGGTGGGATGTGGGATGTATTGAAAAGTAATGGTGACTTGATCTACTGCAAATTTAATTTTATAAAGTCGACCATTTGTCCCTGATATATTTCTTCGTTCACACAAGATCTCATTATTAGTTGGAGCTTGTTTAATATTTTTAATACTACGTTTGTTTGGCATCCTCATCTACTCTTTCATTTCTTACAATACCTGAATGAGCCTTAATCCAAATAAACTGTATTTGTATGTTTTTTATTTATTTGATTTATCAATTCTAAATATGATTTCATTCTTATAATATTTAAATGGACACCCTATCAGAGCAGAGCTTGTAGTAATTGATTTGTTTTCAATCCATTCTAGTGCCTCTATTCATTGCTAGAGCTTCTGCCCTAATACTCGTATTAGGGGTATAACTAAATTACGATAGTTTTCAATATAATTTGTAGTTGAAACAAAAATTGCGAAACCAGTATCAATTTCATCTATGTATATTGTGATACGTCTTCTTGATTCACTTGTGTGAAAGTGGAAGTCGTGGATGGCGCCAGACTGTTATCTTAAACAAGGGTTGCCTAGGCGCCCGATTTGATAACTCATTTTGCTCTATGGCCTAAAGTAGCTCCAGTGGAGTAAGTAATTCCAGGTGATTTATTAGTACCGGAAATAAAAAATATCAATCTCACTAAACCTGCACGGTATCACCTTGGACCCTTACCGTAAAGGTGATTCTGGACAAGTTAGATAAAAAGGGATACTTACATGTTATAAAAGTAATCTTAAAAAACCGAATTCAAAATCGTGCAAATGCCATCACCACATCTTAAACAAATTTATAGGGGATCACCCCTGAGGTATCCTCTTACTAACAATAAAAGAATCATAGGAATCGGACAAGGTGGTATAGGTTATTCACTGAACTTACACCTATGTCGGATTAAGAAAGAGATGCACGACTGAGGCGATCTACAGGATAATTTCGCATCAGGTACTTGAGTAAATTAAGCGTAGTCCTCCGGTGGGTAGAAGGTGAATCTATTTTAATTATTAAATACTTATATAGTATGTAATTATGTTTATTAAAATTAAATTACTAAAGTAATACACGAAGAAATGAAAATATTTATTATTTTGTTTTGGACATTGTTTATGGTAATACCATTTTCCCCGAATACAATAAACGCTTTATGATCAGGAATTTCCGGAAGACCCCTTCTCAGGTATAAAATTAAGATTAAATGTTCTATTTTTGTACTGATGTTATAGGACTAATTGCGCTAAATTATTTAGTCTAGTTTTGGATTTCGAAGAGAACGTATGTCGAAACTGAAAATGCCGAAGCGCGTGTTACGTGTAGATGACTTAATTTGTAATCTACATAGGTATTTTACGGCGGAAAAAGATAACGGAGGACTTTTAAAGCCAGTAGTGAGTGTGCATGAACGCGTCTGTACAGCTTTCGGTATTAGTGATTCAAAATTAAAATAGGTTTTGAAAAACGTCAAAAGCGAAGAGAGAAAAAAAAATAAAAAATACACACCTCGCAAAAAACTGAAAACGTCGGATATATCTGGTGGGACAAAATTTCGTATTCGTGATATGGTGTATGAAATGCGTGCGAAAAAGGAACATGTCAACTTTGACACATTGCTGGCTAACTTAAGAGAAATACAAATTGGTGAATTTGGCCGAACAAATCTTTGGAAGTTGCTTAAGGAAATAGGTTTTAGATTTAAAAAGGAAGATAATAGAAAAGCTTTATGTGAAAAAAATATTGTTGTTCACAAAAGAATACATTTTTTAAGAGAATACACTCGTTTAAAAGAGAATGGAGCTTCGTTTATATATTTGGATGAAATCTGGATATTTTCCAAAGGTGGAACGAAAAGAATATGGCAAGATGAAAATATAAAATCAATAAAACATACTAATGGTGAGGGAAAGCGACACATAATCTTGCACGCAGGTGGAAAGAATGGATTTGTGGATGGTGCAGGATTAATATTTTGCTCTAAATCAAAATCAGAAGACTACCACGATAACATGAACTCGGATATGTTTATAAAATGGTTAAATGAAAAACTATTACCTAATTTAGGTGAACCGTCTGTTATAGTGTTAGATAATGCGAGCTATCACACATAACTTTTAAACCAACCGCCAATACAGAATTGGGCTGTAGCCAAAATACAAGAATGGCTACGTAACGAAAATGTTCCATTTTCACAATACGCCCTTAAATCTGAGTTGTTAACTTTAGTCAAACGGCATAAACCACCACAAATTTATATGGTAGATCAAGTCATACATAGTTATGGACATGATGTGTTACGGCTTCCACCGTACCATTGTCAGTTTAACCCCATCGAACACATACGAAAACGAATTATCACAATCATATTGGAATTAATAGTTACAGCGACGAAGCAGTAAGGGAAATATGGAAACAAGCACTGGATACATAAACCCCAGAAATTTGGCAAAAAAGTGTTTAAAAATGTGATAAATTAATTGACGACTGGTGGCACGTGAAAAGAGGATAAACGAAATTAACCCTATAATTATATCCCTTAATGATGACAGCGACGCTAGTGACCCAAATTTTGAGAGTGATGCTAAAGATTTATATGTATGTCAAAAGACAATTATTTATAATAATCACTGTTTAATATGGAATTTTAAAAGTTATGTTATTTTTAATCATCTTACTTACTTAATCGCAGGGTAAAACTGTGTATGTAAATTAAAATTTTTGTTCTGAATAAACTATTATTAAACAACAAAATCATGAAACTATTTCTTTCAAGCTTTCTTAGGCAAAATTAAATACCTAAAATGTATATTTTGTTTCTATAAGAACCCCTTGCAATATACAAAATAACGCCACCCATGAGTAAATGTTTAAAATACAACTGACCAGTCAAATCTTTCGTTTATTTCTTAATCCGATATGGGTGTAAATTCAGTGAATGACCTATAAAGAATTACCGCTAAACAGACATACAAAATGAAGAGTTGAGGATTTTTTTATTTACCCAATTATTAGATTTTGACCAAATTTATGTGGGAAAAGAATTATCGCTATACATACATAAAAAAATAATCCGGCGCATTGAGAACTTCCATTTTTGAAGTCGGTTAAAAAGAAACACAGGCCATTTATATACAATAATATATTTCAAACCAAAGGTAACCACGGTGGGGCAATATTAAACCCAAACAAATGTATTAACAATAAATTACGCACAAAAATAATAGTAAAACTAAGATGATAAATATAAAGCGGTAAGACGGATGCTCTTAATCATTTGAATATTCTAACTCAATTAGTAGTATAATTGAATCTTCGAAATATTTATGTACATACAGAAACCTGCAGAGGATACATAAATAAAATAAAATAATAAAAAATTCACAAGTTAAAATAATAAACGTTTACATAAAAATAAGCGATTAAACATATTTTGGTAATGGCGGAATTATAATGGCTATAATTATAATTGAAGCTGCAGATTATTTATCAAATTGCCTTCAAAATAGTTATTTATGCAACAAGTGCAAAAAGTAAGTGTTTATTACACGCTACGTGAAACACGTTGAGTACATTAAACACTTTTTGCACGAGTTGCATGCAGTATTTTTTCTACGTTCAGGCAAAAACCAAAAAATGTTTTATAGAACTGCAGTTGTATTATCAAATCATAGTAGCCGTGATAGTGTACCTTTGTTTGAGGCATTTATTTACGTTTGTGTTCCTAATTTGTAAGGACATTTTTAATAAAATACATTTTTTTATTAATTTATTTATTAAATGATTGAAAATAATATAAAATATGCAATTGTTTTTAAAACGTAACGCAGAAAATGAAAATGGACTAAATATTTGGCGTTGATTTAAATATTTATATTTGTCATGATCATAAAACGCTGTAGTAAAATGACAGATGAGTGCAATAAAATTTTTATTGCACTAGTGCAATAAAGACCCAGATTTTTCACTAAATATAGTTCAATAAAGTTTTGTTTTTTGCATGAACGTAGAAAAAATAATTTTTAGAGCACACCATGTATTTTAATGCCCTTGCCCAAAAATAATTCACAAAACGTTATTCGATACAAAGTTGGAAACTCAATTATAATTGTTGCTTTAAGAAGTTCCGTCCTCGAGGCCAGCCTGCAATATTTGCTATTGTGGTTTCTCGTTACAAAAATTCCTAACGAATAAAGTTCGACCTTGTAAAGGCCAATTTTTTCTTTGGACTCTTAACAAATTACTTATTTTGTTAATGCGACGGTCGACTTCGAGGATAACGAATTAAATTTTACTGATAACGGTTAGTAATAAAAGGACTTTATATTCTCCACGGTTTTTACACGGTCGGTGTCGAAAATATAACTGTCGATGACGGTTTTAAAAACAGAGCGACAGCAAAGAGATTTTACACTTTACGCTCGGATTAATTCGGTTTCCGAGTGGTTCGGAGTGAGAGTAGCCAATATTTACAAATCGGAGGACTGAAAAATGTACTTTTGACATTTGCGAAAATGCACCAGATAATTTTCATGAATTTGAACTGGATTCGAATTTCAGTAAATAATGATATATTTTAAACTATGGGGGCTCTCACAAATGTTTAAAAACGGGACTTTTAAGGAAACAAAATTAACTTAAACTAAATATTTTATAATTAAACTAAAGGAAAATTTAGTTACTTCGTCACAATATTTTTATATTATATTTTATAAATCTATTTAATATTATAATTTCTTATATTGTTTTAAATTTGTTAAGAAATATCTGGTAATTCACGTTTTTAATTATATGTATCAACAAAGGCTTCAGCATTTTTTCTTCGATTGTTTATTTGTAAGGTTTTTTATAGTGACACCAGAAATTTTTTTTGTTAGAAAAATATTTTTTTCTACACCTATCTGTATATTAGCTGTTCTACGCACAAACTACAAAACAAAAAAGTAAGGCATTGCGTTTAACTGAACGAATATGTTTTATATCCATTCTGCCAAGTAAGAACACTGCACAAATCCACCAAACACAGTTCACATTTGTTCACCAGACAATTATTACTTTTGTACAATTTAAAAAAGTGACAATTCTGTCAAACTAATTGCAGTATATTTTTTAGTCATTGAGATTGGAAGTATGGAGATTGGAGTATGGAAGAATCGGTTTTTGAACCTAATACTGTACCATTTATTTACCACTGTTTGTTAATTTAAAATATATCTGTAATCAGATTTTTGTTTTGGTAAATAATAAATGTTTTATTAATTGAAAATGGGTGATTCTTGTGAAGAACCGATAAATAATAGCATTTTACAAGATAAATGTCTGTTAGAAAAAATCATACATTTTAATAAAATAATATAAAATCAATTTAATTATGAGTATTAAAAATAAAAAGTTAAGTTTGTCGATAGACCCGAGACTAGCGTACTTACTTGCTATGTGGAAGGTTTGGGGTTCAAATCTGATTTTAAAGTTTATTTTATTATATAAATTAGTAAAAGTCATATTTTTTTAAAATTAGTTATTTTATTTTAATGACCCAAATTAATTTTTAAAATTTGTAGATTTTCGATAGTGTGTCGTAGAAATAATATACTGTACAACTAGAGTGGATTTCCTGTATGGCCATCATATCCACTCTTGTTTCACAAACTACTATTTTTAATGTGTAAAAGTTCTACAGCTGCATCACTGATATTGACAACTTCTAAATAAATTACAATATTCTTTATTTAGATTTTAAAAGTATGGTGCGTTTAAGTCAGTTAACAAAATATATTAAAATAATTGGTGCAGTACCATAAATTAATAACATAACTGAATTTATCTAATGAAGTATTCAGTTTATAAATTAAAATTTTTTATCCGAAATGTTCAAACATATCCTCTTAATACATAATAATATTACGTTTCAATATGATGAAAACTCCAAATTTTATCACACTAGAATCAGAAAATCTAAAGTTATGTGTTCCGATAGATCCATTTTCTCATGTAACCTGACAAGGAATTCGACTTACGGAACTCCACGAGTCAATATTTTTGAATTCAAAGTAAAAAGTTTCCTTCATATGGACTGGACGCCCTTCCATCGGGAATATCCATCAATCTGACGGGTTGGCATTCTCATTTCCCCTTTTTTTAGTTTTATATAACACTTATCAGTTCTCGAAGTATATTAGGCTGTGTTACTTGGCAACGATATGAATCTTCCCCGGATTTTGTTACCCTCTCATGAACTCTCAATTTGATCCTTTCTTGTGATAAAGGAAATAAAGATAAAAGGAGAATTTAAATATTTATTTAATGTACTGTCTGTGTTTTTAAGGATTTACCGTAATGGCTAAGAAGATCATGGCAGAAGAAATACGTGGCAGATTTGAGGATACGTTTTGTAGGTCAAGGTTTTAAGGTTTATCCGATGTTAAGCATGCACAGTTGTATCTTTTTTATTTTTATATACCCTGTTTTAATATGTAGTACATAAACAATCGAGTAGGAAAGCATCAGTGTATGAACTGTTTTAAATATTGATGTTTTAACATTTTCTTGGAATAGTAGTTCATACAACCTAATTTTTTTTATATGATTTTACTATTTTTTTACAAATAATATAAACGAATATACTGTGGATTATAATTATTATTTATCGGTTATGCACTAGAACCACTGATTTTTAATTATATTTCAATTCAATAATATTAAAAATATAATGACAATTAGTTTATAGTTCAACAGATTAGTCAGGTGCTGAACGTGAACAGCGATTGGTGGAAATTTGCCCATACATATTGAATTTGTAGTTTGTGTAGATAATATATAGTAATATACATATCTGAAAAAGATAGTCTAAAATCTGTAATTTATTTATCTACAGCAAATATAACTTATTATTACTCCTAAAAAGTCTTTCATTTTTTTATATCGACTCGATCGGAGTAAAATGCGGGTGATACCGTGGCTATTAGACAATTTAGAAAGCATTCACATGAATTGCGCACATTCTAACAAAGCCAATATGAAATATTTTAAAAGTTGTCTTTAGACGATAATAATTAGCTATTCATAAATTTTCCATGCTATTTTCTGTTTTATTTACCTATAATCATCGTTTCAGTTTTTTAGA